AGTGCTTGGCATTGCTTGGCGTTGCTTGGTAGTGCTTGGCATTGCTTGTCGCTGCTCGACATCGCGTGGCACCCGAGGAGCCCGAGGTACCTCCGGGGAAACTCCGGGGAGCGGGCAGCGTGCCCCCCCGAGGCACCATCACTCTTCGTAACCAAGTAAGAACCCTTTAGGCAAGCCTGATTGGGGAAAAGCACGGCCGGAGGCAGTCAACGCTCCCAGCGGCAGGGGGGCCCGCCGCTGGAGGTGGGGCCAGCTTTCCTCCAGGGCAGGGCGCATCTCGGGCGGGGGTGCACTGTGTGATCGGAGCGTGGCTCTGCGTTCGCAGTGCTTCCCCCATGTCTGCGCCTCCTGGGGCTGCAGCTGTGAAACATCCAGTTCAAGACCTGACACAACCCCGGCCGCGCCTCCGACCTCGTCCGAATCTCGGAAACCGGCCTCGCGCAATCACTCATGGAGCCTGCCGAGCCAAAGGGCGACGTCTTCTGCTCCACGCTCGCAGGCTTCAGCCAACACCTCCTGCTCCTCGTGGCCACAGACGGACCCACCCTTGGCCCACCTGTCGGCCAACTGGCTCCCCCGAGGCGGCCGGAGGTCCTCGAGCGACGTGGCCTCCGAGAGCCTCCTGGGAGCCCTGGCTTCGTGCGCCGAAGAGGGGGCCCCATCCTTGTCTCACGGGAGCTTCCAGAGATGCCTACTCCAGATTCCGTAATAAAAGGGAGGGGGTCTGGACCCTCCAAGACAAGCCACTTCGTGGGAGAACCCTCCAAAACATCGCCCCCAGACCCCCCAGGCCCTCCAAGATAGCCTGGAAGAGACCCCCCCCCGAAATGAGACCCCCCTCCCTTTATTTCGAAATCTGGAGCACGCACCCCCCTTTGGGAGGAGGGCCCTCGTCGAGCGGCGTGCGCAGCCGACCGAACCTGCACAAATCATGACCGCGGGCTGCGGGGCCGGCGCCGCCGCTCCTCTCCGGGGGAAGCTCCGAGAGCCGAGCCCGCGTGCAGGGCGCGAAGGGGCGGGGCTGTCGTCGTCGTCGTTGTCGTCGTCGTCTTCCCTCCTCCCTCGTCGTTGTCGTCGTCGGCGTCGCCATCCTCTCTCCTTACTCGTGGTTCGCGTCGTCGCCGTCCTCCCTCCTCCCTCGTCGTTGTCGTTGTTGTCGTCGTCGTCGTCGTCCTCCCTCCTCCCTCGTCGGGAGAGGGGGAGGACGAGGAGGATGGAATGCGAGGCGGAGCAGGAGATCTCCTTCCAAAGCCTCCTGCCGAGGCAGAAAGCCACGCAGGACAGTACGATGGCGGGCAGCGAGAAGACGGCCGAGAGCGTCAGGAGCGAGCTGTAGTGGGAGATCCTGCCCTGAAGGTGCTGATCCAAAAGCTCCCCGTGGAGCCAGCAGGCTACGCGTTTTCGTTTGGTGCATGCGTGTGAGTGTGCATGTGTGTGTGTGTGTGTGTGTGTGTGTCAGCATTGGCGCGCGCATTTGAACAATTCCAGCAATTTGGCCACGACGATGCTTTGTTGTGGCGTCAAGCTGGATGCGCACATGGCCGGATTCGCAAGAGGAACATGCGGAGGCCACGTGCTGAATGTACGTGTGAAGGGCCGGCATAACCAGCAACGCGAGGGCCAAAACGCTGGAACAGCGTGCGGCCGTGTATGCACCTCTCGCCCAAGCAGTCCACGTTGTGTTTATCGATCTTCCTGGTGCCCTGGCCGACCCCAGCCACCAAGGACTTCTGGTGTAAGCAGCTCAGGTGACGCAGGTCAGCAGCTCTCCTGAACTGCAAAACACGCGCGAGCCCTCAGGGTCGGAGACAACAACATTCGCATACCCTGCACGCGTGCTCTGGGCCTCTGGGCGCCCACAGTAGAAAACAGTTCAAACATGATCGTTCGCCCCCCCCCCCCCCCACACAACGACGACCTCGAGCAAAATACGACGACGGATCCGCGTTCACAGGGCTACGGCCAAAAATACCGATGAGCCTCGCGCTCATGGCCACGACCCACAGTCAACTGCGTCGGATCCTCGCTCCCGTGGCCACGGTTCATGATCAAAAAACTGCGGGCTCCCGCTGCCAAGGACCCGTTCCGTAGTAAAATGCGATGGATCCTGGCTCCTGGGGACGTGATCCTTCGTTTAAAGCACTGGAAGCTAAAGCATGCGTGGAAGTCAACAGCCCCTCGCTCTCGAAGCTACGATCTCTAGTTTCGAAACGTAATCGATCAGTGCCGCCATCTATTCCGAACACAACGGGAACTCGGTTCGAGCTGCGTATACGTGTCATATCAGACCCGCCTGCTGCTGCCCCCCCTGCTACTGCTACTGCTGTTGCTTGCTCTTCTGCGTCTGCTTGCTGATGCTGCTGCTGCTAACTGATTCTGCCGCTGCCTGCTGCTGCTGACTCTACTGCTGTTGGCTCTGCTGGTGCTGCAGGGTGGCGGGGCAGCTTTAGGGGGGCTCTTGGCGCCCTGTGGGTTGTCCCAGGGCGTCTTGGGTGCTTCTGAGGGTCTCCTGGGCTGCCTATGGGGCCTTTTGGGGACCTCCTGGGCTCTGGAGGCGCCCTTGGGCCGCCTTGGGGCCCTTGTAGGCGGTCTCTGAAGCCCGCCTTGGACGGTCTCGATGCTCTCTTGGGCCCCTACAGAAAGAGGCCTTCTTGGACCGTCTTGGGGGTCACCTCGAGGACCTTTTGGGCTGTCTTGGGAAGATCTTGCGTCACTCTTCAGCCGTTGGGCTCTCTCAAGGACTCCCGAGGCCATCTTGGGCCGAACAGCTGGGGAAGCAGCACGAATTTGAAAGCGTATTGCTTTGAATGGCTCTGGCTGAAGCCTCTCGTTCTGGGGCTGCCCTGGGGGCCGCTTTTGACTCCCTGGAGCGATCTTGGCGGACTTGGTGCTCTCCGGGCGCCCTCTCGTGGGCTGTCTCTGGGGGCGCTCTTGGGACGTCTTGGGTCCCACCGAATCCCTTCTTGGGCCGTCCAGGGGCCGACTTTGGCAGTCATGCCCTCTGAAGCACTCCTGTGGCAAAGTTGTGTCGAGGTGCCTGGGGACAGCTTGTGTCGCGGACCCGGCGAGCGCGAAGGTCGGCTGGACAGCGAGCTGCGCACAGCAAGAGGCAGGGATCAAAAAAGAGAGACCGTGCGGCCGCGGAGGGGGACGGGCGGGGGTCGTCGGCATGCTGCGACCCTTGCTCGTTCGGATCGTCGAAGGAGGGATGCGCGCGATAAAGGAAGTCGTGCGTTGTCCGAGTGATGTTGTAAGGGCGCCTAACTTCGCGCTTCGCGTTGCGCGAAACGCGAATAACTTCGCGCGCTCGCGCCGACCCCCAATGGAGAAGAGGAGGATGATGAGGAGTCGGAGCCGAAACGCCAAGCGCGAATAACTTCGCGCCCTCGAAGGCGCCTTTGTTCGAGTCGTTGAAGGAAGGATGCACGCGAAATCGTAACTCGTGCGTTTTTCGAGCGATGTTCCTGCTCCCTCCTCCTGTTCCCTTTTCCTGCTCCCTCTCTTTTTCTCCTGCTTCCTCCTCCTGCTCCCTCCTCCTGGAACGCTCCGAGACGTGCCTGAAGCGCTGCCGCGGGGCCCAGAAACTTGTCTGACAACTCCCCAGTGGTGCTTCGAGACGTGCCTGAAGGGCTGCAGCGGCGCTTCGAAGCGTTTTGGGAAAAAGGCCCTCCAACGATGCTCCGAGACGTGCCTGAAGAGCTGCAGCGACGCCTCGAAGCGTGTCCGAAAGGCCCTCCAGCGATGCTTCGAGACGCGCCTGAGGGGCTGCAGCGGCGCTTGGAAGCGTGCCCGACACACTGCGCAGCGCGCTGCGAAGCTATCAACGTATACGTCGCCATGCGTGCGTGCGGGACATAGAGCTCGGGAGCGGCCAAGAGGGGGGGGGTGCAAATCATGACCGGCGGCATGTGCGCGGCCCAGCGGGGGGGCCAAGGACGTAATGGAATAAGGAGAGGCGCCGTGAACTCTGGGGAAATGTGATGGCCCACGCCAGGATCTCCCCCCCCCCCCCGAGGAGTAGAGGAGGAGGAGGAGGAGGAGGAGGAGGAGGAGGAGGAGGAGGAGGAGGGAGAGGAGGAGGAGGAGGAGGAGGAGGAGGAGGAGGAGGAGGAGGAGGAGGAGGAGGAGGAGAGGAGGAGGAGGAGGAGGAGGAGGAGGCAGAGCGTGGCCATGGGTGCTTCCACGGCCCGGGGCCGCAGCGTGGCCGGGGCCGCAGACCTTCCCTGGGGCCACGCGCGGACCGGGGCCCGCACGCGGGTGCGGGGCCACAGCGCCTCCCGGGGCCGTGGGCGGCGCGAGGGCCACGGGGGGCCCAGGGGCCGCGGACGTCCCAGAGGCCGCAACGAGGGGTTCAGCCGTCCCGAACCCAGACGTCGGGCGTCCCGAAAAAATCGAGACGGAGGTTTTTCGTGGTTGTCGGCCTCTCGAGGCCCTCGCCGGGCCTCGGGACCGTCGAAACACGACTCGGGACGAAAAACCGGTCCCGGGGAAGTGGTCGGGAGGTCGGGGGCCCGTGTCTCAAAAAATCGGGACGTCGGATGTCTGGGAAGGATCTATTATGATTTCTTCCTGTTCATGAGGAGCCCGGGGATGATCCCTGTGGGATGCCGGGGGACTCTTAAGGATCCCAGAATTGCGTGCGTTGGGCATGCGGTAAATGTTCGGTTTAGTCTCGCGTGCAAGCTTTTGTTCGCTTCATTTTTTCCTCACCAAGCGTGTGGGAACGGACGCACACATTGCAGTAAAGTGTCCGGCCTGCCGGGCTTCCCACTTGAGAGGATGATGAGGAGGAGGATGAGGAGGAGGAGGAGGAGGAGGAGGAGGAGGGGGAGGAGGAGGAGGGGACAAGTGAAGCCAGATGGCGAAGGATACGAATTAACCCTAAAACGTATCATCCCCTGGCCTGCCAAGCTGATGTTGGACAGACCCGTATTGAACGGCCTCGGCGGCCAAACAATACAAACACCATGGCTGGAGAGAGGAGGGAGGACGAGCAGAGGAGAACTCCAAGACACCTGGAGCAGCGCTAAGGCCAACCTGCCGTAGGCGAGCCGTTGCGCACAACAGGGGACTTGCAAAACTGGCACTGCCGGACACCTCGGCCACCCAGGTGATAATAATACGTACTGCCTAGCTGGAGTTACGAATGCGCCGAAAGATATATCGGCTCCCAGGCCGAGCGAAAGCATATCTGCCGCGATGGCACATGATGCGAAGCGGAACGTGAGACGAAATGGCTGACCAGGCCCGGTGGAAGAGAGGGAGGGAGAGGAGGAGGAGGACGAGGAAGGAAAGGACGGGGGGAGCGGGAACAGGACTACAATGATACGAAAAGTGCCAAAGCTCGTATCACAGCGACGTGGGCACAAGTGTCACAGATATTACATATAATTCAAGTGGTAGCGACTGGTGCGCCGAAAACGACCGAGAGGAGGAGGAGGAACACAGATGCAACAATACATGCATTCGGTGACACGCGTGGCTGCTAGCTGTCCTGGCGGGGCCTCTCGAAAGCGATCTTAACGAGATGTTGGGCGCGAGAATGGCCAGAGACCGCTTCGCGGACAAAACCGCGGAAGGCGTCGGCCCCGTCTGCGGCGCGGAAGCCGTGTCTCACTGCGTTGTGCGTTCTATATAGTGCATACACACCTATCGCCCGGAGCGCTGCCGCCGAGGCCCTGGCGCTGCCGTCCTGGCAGTGCGGTGGGAGGGAGCGCTCGTGCGGGCGAATGCCCAGAAAATCACTGAGGCACTCTTGTGCGGGTGGCCGGCTAAGGCCGAGGCACTGCTGGCAGAGGGAGTGGAAGGGGCCACAAAAAGCGTAATGCTGTATGCTGTCTTCCCCACGTGGGCACTTGCAAAGGCACCCCCCTGACTCACCGAAGCGGCGGGCAGTAATCCATCCGTTCCAAGCAGTCCGAATTTGACACGCCTGCACTCTGGGGGGGAGGAGAGGCGAGGAAAGAGCGAGAGTGTTGAGCCACCGTGCGGGCCTGTGGCCTGGCAGGACGTCGAGTTGCCATTTGTCCAAGCGTTTCCTAATGTGCGTGGCCGCGGAGGGCCGGGAGACAGCGTTAAAAGTCCGCGCTGCCTGGGCCTGCCACCCGCCCCGCTCCTGGGCGGCAGGGTTCGCGGGATCAAGGAGAGACGGCGCAACGCGCAGCTGCCGCTCGGCAGCCGTAAGCTCACTTGTGGCGCTACGGAGCGAGAACAAGAAGTTCTGGTCGACGTAGTGTTGGAAGTGCTGGACTCGGGGCTGGTTCCTGGCGTCGCGGCTCACCCAGAGGAGCTGGCGAGCGCGGGCCTGAATCCAGAGACCGCCGTGTGCGGAATTCTCGAACCTGGCGACCCGGGCCCTGGCCGCCCGCGCGGCGGACTGGACGTCGGGGAGGGCCTTCGGAAAGCTCAGCGACTTCAGGTCCTTCAGCGCGTCCACGGAAAACCAATCCTTGGGGCCGCGGAAGAGCGCGCGGCACGCTTGTAGCTCGATCGCCTCGAACGTGCGCGGCAGCGGGTCGAGCTGCGCGACGAACATGATCACCGAGCACACAAACACCTGGTAGGCCAAGAAAGTGTGGAGAAAACCTACGCCCATTTGCCCCCACAGCACGGCTCTCTCCATGAATTTACGGAAGGGGGCGTCCCATGAGCTGGTGCCGCGGCCCGGGCCGACGACCATGCCGAGGTACTTCGCCTTGTCCTGGATTGGGAGCGCCCCCCACAAGGGGGCTTCCCGAGTGAGCCGGCGACGAACCTCATCGCGATCATACCGGAAGAGCGGCACGAGCACTGTCTTGTCGATGTTCAGGCGGAGGCCGGACATGCGCTCGTACTCAATGAACATGTCCTGGATGGCGCCGATGTGCTGGAAGATGGCAGCGTGCACGAGGGCTGTGTCATCGGCGTAGGCGCGCACTCGTGCTTCTGGAATGCGCCGGCCTAGACGCCGAAGCAGGATGTCCGACGCCACCGCGAACAGCAGCGGTGACAGGGGGCACCCTTGGCGGATGCCCCGCGCCAGGTCTAAGCCAGCGTGCCGGGCGCCGCCCAGCGCGATGGAGCACGAGTTGCGGTAGTACAGGCAAACGACAAAATTGACCAGCCAGGCAGGCCAACGGAGCTTCCGAAACACTGCGAACAACATGTCGTGCTCCACGGACGGGAACGCGGCGGCGAAGTCGAAGAAGAGCGCCCCTCCCTCGTCGGACGTGCACGCGCTGGTTGCCATGGCCTCCTCGATGTCCACCAGATTGGCCAGCATGCTGCGCCCTGCGATGAAGCCCCTCTGGGTATCGATGATGTTCGGGCCGAGTATCGGTTCCACGAAGTGCCGAACAGCAGGCGAGCAGGCGATGTCCGTGTCCCGAGTTATCGGCGCACAGGGCGATTTACGCATCCCGGAGCACGCCGCAGAGGACTTCAGGGCACGCCCGCCCAGTTTCCGACCGCGCCCTCCGACACGACGACTTTCCTCGCCTCTTAACTTTGGACTATTTCCAGAAACTCGAGTTGCACCCGGGAGCATCGGCGCCTCGTCGGCTACACATGTTCAAAGAATCCATCAAAGAGGTGGCGGCGCGCTTGGACGCCACGATGGGCAAGCCCCCTGCTGCCGTGGACCTCGAAGACCGGCTGGGGGTCACGATGCGATTCATACGGTACGTCGAAAACGGCATGATGGGAGGCATTTCGTCCTGCATCGAGCGGTACCCTCGTCTCGCCGAGATGATGGGCAACCCTTACGACATCGGAGGTAACCTGTCGATTCGTCTTCGGCCGGTCAGGGATCATGCGATAGAGTTGGCCAGAGATCATGCCTTGGACGAGCTCAACAAATCGCACGCGGACCTCGTCAGCGGCAACGCGGCCAGGGCCGCTCAGGCGAGGCAGAAGAACTTGCGCCTGATATTCCGGCTCGCCCCTGGCAGAGCGGGCAGCCTTTCGGCCGTCCTCGCCAAAAACGGCCAAATCCTGACAGGCTCTGCCGAGATGGCCGCAGAACTCCGCAGACATTGGAAGAGCGTTTTCCGTGCGAAGGGCATCGACCACACCCTCCTCGATAACTGGCTCAACGAGGACGCCGACAGCAGGAGCGACAAGGATATCGTCGAGGACACCCCCGCGATTGCCCGGCTCCGCAAGCGCCACACCCGACACGCCATTCAGCACTCCAACAATTCTTCCCGGGGCCCTGATGGAATCAGCTTCCTCGCTTGGAGAAGATGCATCAAGCTCTCCACGACAGTTCTTTTCGACGCAGTGCGAGTGCTGATGGACGATTCTGGCTGCGCGGCCATAGACGAGGAGTGGTCCGACTTCAATGCGAGCCTGCTCTTCCTGCTGCCCAAGAAGGCTTCTGGCACCACGGCCACAGGCGAGGGCTATTTCTCAGCTGAGAATACGAGACCGCTGAACGTGACCAACACGGACAATCGCCTGCTCGCCAGTGCTGTTCGGCACTTCGTGGAACCGATACTCGGCAAGCTTTTGTTCGCTTCATACGTGTCGTTTGCGATTCGTGCACGCCCCGTTTACCCTCGCTTCAAACTAAACACCACCATCACGTAATTATGTTATATCATGTTTGCTCGCCAATCGAAACTCGATAGGACACGCGCTGAGCCCAACCCCCTGCAAACTCTTGAAATATTAAGATGGTTCCCCGAAGAGAATTCAATGGGATATGTGGTGACCCCAACCTCTTGCATACTTATTTAGTATCCCGTGTGTTTTCCCTCTGGGAATTCAATTGGGAATGCGCCAACCACAGCATCAAGCAATATTCTGACAGATCCCATTTTTTGACTCAATATGGCACGCGCCGGTCTCAGCCCCACCACAGAATTTTGCAATGATGTATGTGATTTTGATTTAGAACTCACCAAGGAATGTTCTTATCTCAACCTCCTGCGACGGTTCTTCTTAACATTCCACTAAGGCGTTGGCTTTCCCGCCCCCCTCGTCCCTTCTGCGCCGGCCTCGCAGAGAATCCGGCCTCGCGCCAAGGATCTCCCGCCGCTGCGTCGGGCACTGCGACAGGCAGACGCCGATGATGCGTTGGCGGCATTATGATGCGCTTGCTTCGCCACCAGATGTCGAAGGTGGCATTCTCATCGCCTGCGCGCAGCCCTGGAAGAGTCCATGCCGCAGGGCGCGCCGACGCCGCTTCGCCGCAGCACGAGGACGAGCGCCAATGGCAAGATCGATCGGAGCAGGGTTCAATAGGTATCCCTGGAAATCCACAGGAACCAATCGGAGCCATTAGGGCTTAATCGGAGTCAATCGGGGTCAACAAGAACCGTAAGGAATCAATCGGGATCAGTGGGGATCAGTCGGCATCACTACGAACCCGTAGGGGCGATTCAACATGAATTTGTCGGGAACACGGGAGCACTATCGGGCGTTGGCAGAACTGGGTTTAGTGGAACCTGGTTTAATGATCTGTACTGGGGGCGCCCCCCCGTCCCATGTCCACGAACCGGAACTGCCGTCACCCGAAAAAACACCAGCTATGGCAAACCTGGTTCAGTGATTCTGGCCAATTCAAAAGCTCCGGGGCCCTACCACTAATCGGGTCCCCTTACCTGGGGTCCTGGCCATACCCGACACCAAGAAGCAACAGGAACCAATTGGGATCGTAGGAAACAGTCGGCATCCATAGAAATTAAAAATAACCATTAGTAATCAACAGGAGTGACTCCGAAGCAATAAGGCTCAATTATAACTAATAGGGATCAATACGAATCGAAACGAATCATATGAATCAATGTGGATCAATCGGAACCGATAGTAATCAATAAACTCTATAAGAGTCGGATCACTACGAATCAATAATAATCAATAATCAATCATAACTAACATGCATCAAACGGAACCAATGAGAATCCCTTCGCTACGTTGGGCACTACGACAGCCAGTCGCCGGGGGAGATATGATGCGCTGGTTTCGCCACCGGATGTCGACGGTGGCATTCTCATCATTTGCGCGCAGCCCTGGATAATTTAATTACGTCGCAGGGCGCGCCGACGCCGCTTCGCCGCATCACATTGACGAGCGCCCATGGCAAATTCGACCAGAGCAAAATCGGAATCAACAAGAATCAATCGGAACCATTCGGAATCAATACTAATCAATAAGAATCAATCGGAATCAATGGGAATCCGGAGGGACGAACAGGAATCATCAGGAATCAACAAGAACCATTAGGAATCAATCAGAATCAGTGGGGAACGATCGGCACCATTAAGAATTAATCGGGGCAATTAGGAATCAATAGGGTTCACTGAGAATCCACCGGAAGCAATCAAAATCAACAGGGGTCAATCGGAATCATCAATAATCAAAAAGAAGCAATCAGAACCAATAGGGACCTATCTGGGAACTTTAGGAGTCAATGAGAATCCACGGGAACCATTGGAAATCACCAGGAAACAATCGGAGTCAGTATATACATAGAGAGATATATACATATATATGTGTGTGCAAATATACATCTACATATACATGTATCAGCAAGAAGCACAAAGCATCAATACGAATTAACAGACAATTGCAATAATCAGTAGGAACCACCAGGCATCAACAATAATCAATGCGAATTTCAAGTCATATGAATCAACTGGAACGGATAAGAATCAATCGGACCCCCTTAAGTAGGAGCCAATCGGAACCAGCAAGAGTTAACAATGCAACAATCATAATCAATGGTAACCGTTCGGAATCAATGGAATCAACCGGGATCAACAGCCAATCGTCATCAACAGGAATGAATGGGAATCTATTGGAATCTAAAGCGACCTGTCAGAATCAATACGAATCATAATTCATTAATAGGAATCAACACACATCATTCGGAGTCAATGCTAATCAATAGGAATCAATCGGAGTCAACAGGCAACATAGGAGTCAATAGGAATCGTCAAGAACGGACAAGAATCAATAGGAATCAATGGACTTCAAAAAAGATCAATAATAGGAACCAGTCGGAATCGGCATAATCAATAGGAAGCAATAGGCACCAAACCCAAACCAAACTCCCAACGTCCATGGGTGACACGTCACCCTAATAATAGTCCTACAAGACTCGTCAAACATTAATTGACGTTTTTTGTGTTCGCGCTTGCGAGGTTGGCACTACTTCAATGCTGGCATGAGGTTTTGGCCCACGCGCAGGGGTGTCCGAAATCCACCAGTGCCCTCACAGCATTGAAGAACGCGTTTTCTGACAAGTGCCCAGACTATCGGGCGCTTCGATTTGAACGGCGTTTCAATGTATTTTTGACGAGGCTTGTAATAATAATAGCAGACTCATGGTAAGAAGAAACGCCCTTCTTCTTCTCCTCCTTTTCCTCGTCCGTGCCACTGTTCAGCTGGCTTTTCGTCCCCCCCCCCCTTCACTGGACGGGTGGGGTGGGGTGGGGCACCACCAGAACAACCGCCAGCACGGCCACCGCCAATACAACCTCCACCAGCACAACCACCGGCACTACCACCACCAGCAGCACAACCACAGGCACAATCATCATCGCGGCAACCACCAGCAGACCAGCGCAACCAGCAGCTCGGCCTCCGATTGGAACACCAGAAACGACGACGACGAGGACACCAGAAACGACGGAGACGAGGACAACCTCGACGACCACTGTCAACAACGCGGTGTCAGCAACGCGGTGTCAACAACGCTGTGCTATCACGCGGGTTCACGGCAAGCGCCCTCCTCCTCCCCCTCCTGCTCTTCATCCTCCGCCCCGTCGGCGCCGCGCCTCCTCTGCACAACAACAACAACAGCGTGGTGTCACCAGCGCGGTGCCAACCACGCGGTGTCAGCAACGTGGTGTGAACAGTGCGGTGTCAACTACAAGGTGTCGACAACGCGGCATAGTTTACGCGATGGCAGCGGCGCCTCGCCATTGCGCGGTGTCATGGCGAGCGCCCACTTCCTCATCCTCCAGGCCCTCAACGGTGCAGCGTCGACAACGCAATGTCAACTTTGCGTTGCAAACTCTGTCTGTGCCGCCTCCTTCTGGAATCCCTCGCCGGGGAAACGGCAGGAGCAAACGAATACTTGCATGGTAGATATCCTCTGGGCCCCTTCGTTCCGAGAGCCATTATGTGTCCTGTTCGCCTTTGCTGTCGTCGTGTGTTCCCTTATGCATGGTTTGTTCTGTCACCCCCATACTTTTCATTTTCTCATTATTTGGTGTCCTGAGCATCGGCGCGGCGTCAACTGCGAAGCGTCAGCTGCGCAGTGTGAACAACCCGGTGTCCACTTCGCGTTGTCAACAGCGAGGTGTCAACTACGCAGTGTCGACAATGCTGTGTCAACGACGCAGTGTCATCGTCGTAGTGCCAACAGCGTCCTCCTCCTTTTCCTCTTCAGTCTCCGCCCAGTCATTCCCCCTCCTCCTCCTCCTCCTCCTCCTCCTCCTCCGCCTCCTCCTCCTCCACCGCATCGTGGTGTTAACCACGCGGTGTCGTGGCGAACGTCATCCTCCTCCTCCTCCTCGTGTTCTACCGCGCGGCGTCAACAGCGCGGTGTCAACGGAGCACTGCCAGCAGCGCCAATGCCACCACGGCGCGGCACGGCCAACGAACTCAAACCGAAGACGCAAAAAGCTGTGGCCACGGCAATGCCGCAGTTGTAATCTGGATTCTGCCGCGTTGCCTCTTTCTTCGAAGACGTCAGGGGAACCTGCCGGGAAATGTGCGGCTGTTTCGGACTTGTGTTCGTTCCTTCACCTCGCGCCAAAAATCTGGAGAAGACCACTAACAACGCTGTTACTTGCATGGCTGCTGCTTCACGCCGCCGTGCCCCCAGCATGCACCGCGAACAGCGTTCGCGCCGCTTGGTCAAGGAATCCCAGCGAAAACAAAAACAAAAAGACTCTGACAACATTGCGTTGCATCTTTTCCGTGCCGCCTCGTTGTGGAATCCCCCGCCGGGGAAAACGGCTGGGGCGAATGAATAGTTGCACGGTAGGTATCCTATGTGCCCCCTCGTTCTGGGAGCCGTCTGCATCCTGTTCGCCTTTGCTGTGTCGTCGTGGGTTCCCTTATGCGTGGTTTGTTCTGCCACTCCCCGTACTTGTCATTTGCTCCCTCTTTAGTTTCCTGAGCATCGGCGCGGCGTCAACGGCGAAATGTCCACTCCGCGGTGCAAATAACGCGATGTCAATTACGCGGTGTCAACAGCGAGGTGTTAACTACGCGGTGTCAACAACGCGGCGTCAACAATGCAGTGCCAACAACGTCCTCATACTCCCTTTCCTCGTCAATCTCCGCCCTGTTATTCCCCCTCTCCCTCTGTTTCCTCCTCCACCGCATCGCGGTGTCAACAGCGCGGTGTCACCAACGTGGTATCAACAACGCGGAGTCATTTACGCGGTGTCAGCAATGCGGCTCCCTTACTCACAGTCATGGCAAGCGTGCCCCTCCTGCTCCTCCTCCTCCTGCTCCTGCTCCCCTCCTCCAGCTCCTTGTAGAACACACCATGTATAACGCATATCATGTAGAACACACATGCCACGTATAACACACACACACACACACCTCGCAGAGCGCGCACACACACACACACCACGTAGAACACACTGCGTATAGCACACACCACGTAGACCACGCAGCTCGCAAGACACACACGTACACCACGTAGACCCACTGGGATAACACACCACGCAGACGACACACCACGTAGATCTCACACCACGTGTAACACACTGCGTATAACACACACCACACAGAACGAACAACTTGCAGCAGAACGCACACATGCACATCACGTAGACACACTACGTATAACGCACCACGCAGAACGTAAACCACGTGTAACACACCACGCAAAACACACACCGACACACACACAAACACATACCCAACCACACACACAAACACACTCACAACCACACTCACAACCACACTCAAGCACACACAAACAAACACACACACACGAGCACACACAAGCACACACAAGAACACACAAACACACAGAAGCACACAGCAGCACGCATAAGCACACACAACCACACGCACAATCACACAATCACACACATAAGCGCAGACACACACAAACACACAAACACACACACAAACACACATAATCACCGACACACGCACACACATACACACAAACACACGCAAACACCCACAACCACACACAAGCACACACAAGCACACAAACACGCGCAAACACACGGAAACACACAACCACAGACAAACACAAACACACAAACACACACCACACACATGAACACATACACATATAACACACCACACACACACACTTGTTGCGTCGGCGGCTAGGCAGAGTGACTGCGCTAGCGGAACTATCAGGTGTAGGGCATATAGATGCGAAATAAGCCGCGATGCACACATACACACACGCACACACACACACACACTCACACGCACACACACACACACACCACGCATAACATACACACCACGCAGAAGACACACCACGTAGAACACACTGCGCAGAACACACTGCGTATAACACACTGCGGTGAACACGGTGCCCAGAACACACTGCGTAGAGCACACTGTCTAGAACACACTACGTAGAACTAGAACACGCGTCGTGGAACACACTGCGTAGAGTATTTCATTTCACGGGCAAGTTTTGGAGTTCACTGTTAAGGCAAGGCTACTCTTGCGCTGCCGAAGCCCCGCCCCCTGGCGGGATGCGACGGGCCCTGGGGGGACCGCCAAGGGAACGGCGACAAGGCGAGCGGGCTCCACACACAGGGCCTCTCCCCGTCTCTCTCTCTCGCGCGTGCGCAGCAACCGCCCCTTCTTTGTGCTCCTCGTTCTCCTCCGCTGCGGCCTCGTTCTGATGCCACGGATCCTCGCTCCCTCGGCGCCGACGCGCTCACAAAACAGCAGCCGGCGGAGGAGGAGGAGGAGGAGGAGGAGGAGGAGAAGGGGGAGGAGGAGGAGGAGGAGCGGCTCCCCTGAGAAAACCTGGGGCGGCTGCCTTGCCGCATCTGGCGCCAACGCTGGGCCGGCTGCCCTCGTGCAGCCCTGGGGCTTCGCAGGGAGCTTCGGAGCCGCCCCTGCTTCCAGGACGGCGCCGACTCCAGGGCCTCCCGTGACCAGCCAGCCTCTCCCCAGGGCCACCTGGGGCAGGAGCGCGGGCTCGCTTCGCTTCAGTCTCGCGTCGCCCGAGCCTCGCTTCGCCAGGTCGGGCGGCCTGGACCCCAACAGGCGGGTCGGACGGGCGAGACGTTCAGAAGGGCGGGCGCAAGGAACTGGGCGAGGCGAGACTTGGGCGAAGCGCGTCTCGGACGAAGCGAGTCCGCCCCCTCCGAAGGCCCCCGGTGGCTGCTCCCGGCGTCCCAGAGCCTCCCAGAAATTACCACAGCTTCCCATTTGATCCCAGAATTCTCGGAAGCTTCCCAATGCCTCCCATGGGGCTGCCAGGACTTCCTTGGAATCCCAGGGGCTCTCCTGTTCCAGCTGGGCCCGAGAATGCCAGAATATGGACACATCGAGCTAAACAGCGCAGATTTTACCCAAGGGCGCCCACGAACGCTATCATCCTAACCGCCACCAGAGCACACACACACACACACCTATCAAAAGGGGGTCAACGGCGCAGGGCGAAGCTTTCCAGATAACATTGGCCATTTGTGCTCAGTGGTGGGTTGTGCTGCTTGCAATACAGTTCGTACTGCTCGATCGGGCAGCTGCTGTCCCTCTTGCCATCAGACTGGGGGCGGCAGAGGTCTGCCATCAGCCTGATGTTTTGGACGTAGGACCAAAGAGTGAGCAGCGCAATGAGCTGCACGCTCGCGCCCAGGAGGCTGCAGCCACAAAAGCAGCAGGTCATGGTCTCGTCGCTGTTCCTGGCGCCGAAGTATCCGCACGCGGGCACCACCAGGCATACGCAGATGCCGAAGACAGTGGAAAAGGATGATGAGGATGAGGATGAGGATGAGAATGAGGATGATGAGGATGATGATGATGCTGATGATGATGATGATGAGGAGGAGGAAGAGGAGGAGGAGGAGGGGGTTTCTAACATGTTTCCCTCGTCGGCAACTTGTTCGTGTCACGGAATACTTCGTGGAATGCTCCCTGGGAAACAAAAGGCACGCGATACCTGGCAGGCCGGATGGCGCCCATGAGGCGAGACTACAGCCACAATTGATTGTACGTATGTGCGATAAGGATGCAAGCCCCTTGGGCGCCCACGTCGAAGTTTTTCACGCGGCGATGGCCGTCGAACGTGGTTAAGCACGGACCGACGAGGCAAGGATGCAGGGGTACCCAGTGGGAAGGCTGCCCATCCCTCTCATCGGTTTCGGCTGTTGGTGTGGCCTCCGGGAAAAAGCTGGAATGAAATTGCGGCCCGCGCGGCGGTAGAAGAAACCCTGGCTGGGCTGGCCCAGGCCGAGGGGGGGCCTATGTATTAATATGAAATATGGGGCTGTCCCAGACCGCCTGGGGGCGTTCTTGGGCGCCTCTTCGGGCCTTTTGGGGGCTCTTCTAAATATTTTTTTTCGGAAGGAATGGGGCCAGTCTTGTCTCCCGGGGCTCTCTCGGAGGGCCTCTTGGAGCGTCTTGAAGGCCTCGTGGCCCTGCTGGAGGCCATCATGGGCCGTATCGGAGCGCTCCTGGGGCCCTCTCGGGGCGGCACCGCGCGCGCCTCGCCATCGCTCCGACGTCCATTCCCGGTGTTTTTTTTGGTTTCGTGCGTGGTTTTTTTCGCCAAATGATCAAGGATGCTCCTCGATGGTCCTCGCCGAAGGGAAAATGCACACGTCCGAGCGATGCCAAGTCATGGGCCGTATCGGCGCGCTCCTGGGGCCCTCTCGGGGCGGCACCGCGCGCGCACGCCACTGCTCGGGTGCGCGCTCGCCCCCCGCCCCCCCGCCCGAAACGCCTGCGGGAACGCCCTCTCGCCGCGCGTGCCCTGCCGCGGCCCCTTCCAATCGGGGTGGGCTTACGTCGGGCCTGTCCCCCATACAGGGGGAACTTTCGACAACAAATTAAAAAGACCCCCCAAATAATCCAAAAATCATACGGGGACTATTTCTTGAATATTTTTGGACCTTTTTGGAACATGTTTAGGGTATTTTTCATTTGTCGTCAGAAATCCCCCTGTAGGGGGACACGCCCGACGTACGGGTGGGCGGCATGGGGGGACTTTGTGCGTCGCATCGGCGGGGGTCTCGCCCCGCGATTTGGAATCAAGACCTCCACCGCGAGAGGCTCCAACGACTGGTTCTGAGGGCGCCACCGCGAGAGCGGCAGGTGGTCCAGAGTCTTGTAGCGCCACCGTGCGGGAAGGGGGAGGAGGGCTGGAGAGGAAGAGGACGGGGAAGAGGAGGAGAAGGACCCGAGCAAACCCAAGACGCGCCAACGATGCTGCAAGAAGCCATTGCACCGAATTCCCTCCTGACAGGTCCCTGCAAAGCTTTGCTTCCACGGAAGGGAAACGCCCCACAGGACGACAACTGCATGAGAATCTCCGATCGCGCCAAAACACTATTCCTGGGACTGCAACGCTGCGAATCAACGTGCAATTGCAGCGCCATGGCGGTGCCGAGTCGCGCCAGAACGCTATTCCTGGGATTTCAGCTCCGCGGACCAATGTGACGGCTGTGCCCTGACAGTCCTAAACCGTACCGGAGCACCAATCCTGACGCGTCCATGACAACCTTAAACACATTCCAGAGACTCTGAACCACGAGTGTGCGCGGCGCTGAAGCGAGAACTGCCCTTTGAGGACCACCTGCTCTCTATCCGTGAAGCTCGTGCAAGCTTGAAACCCACCCGCCCTCCATAAGTGAGGCTCGTATGTGCGCGGCGCATAGCGAGAACCACAATTTGAAAACGACCCGCCCTCAATCCGTGACACTGTTGCAAATGTTTAAGACGAGTGTGCGCGGCGTTGAGGCGAGAACCGCATCTTGAAAACCACCCGCCCTCCAGTTGTGAAGCTGCTGCCAACTGGAAAGTTCCAGGATCATGAAGGGCAAGAAAGTCACAGGCGAACAGTCTGGCCCGTGCCTCTATGTGTGGAGCCGTTTCAAGGGCCGTCCGGAGGCGCTATAGGAGGATGTTCAATCCGTGCTACGCACAAAACGAAAAAGGCGCAGCCGGACTCCTTGCGCCGCTTGCAGGGGGCGAGCGGCGAGCGTAACCTCGCCCGTCCGTTCTTTCGTCTGGCGCTCCTTCGAGCGCTCCGAGCAAAGCCTCGTGTTGGTCGGTTGCGGCGCTCGTTCCTGGGAGTACGAAGGAGGAGGAGGAGGAGGAGTAGGAGTAGGAGTAGGAGTAGGAGGAGGAGGAGGAGGAGGAGGAGGAGGAGGGGACCGTGGACAACGAGACCGAGGGGGACGAGTAGAGTCGTGATGATGACGAGGAGGAGGAGGAGGAGGAGGAGGAGGAGGAGGAGGAGGAGGAGGAGGAGGAAAAGGAGGACGAGGAGGAGGAGGAGGAGGAGGAAGATGGAATCAGGAGGGGGGGGGGGGGAAGCAGGAGGATGATAAGCGCCAGTGTCGTAGAGGTGCTAGTCGCAATGCAAAGGAAGAGGAGGAGGAGGAGGAGTATGCGGAAGAGCTGGAGGAGGTTGATGGGGACTAGGACGAGTGCGAGGAGAGGAGAAACGATGAGGAGCAGAAAAAGTGGGAGGAGGAGGAGGAGGAGGAGGAGGAGGGGCAGGAGGAGGAATCTACAGGAATATACTTCAGAGAGAGGCCGCAGCAGTGCTACGTCTCTCCGACAGAATATGTAAATTACGCGCAATTTACTGTTGTCTTCGGGGGGGGTTCTTGAGCGAGCGGCCCACCCCTCCGTCCGTCCTCCTCCCAAAAGACTTGATTGAGCTGCCAACCAACGGCATAGGAGGTCCGCTCCCCCCAGCTGGGGGAATAGGCCAGGACATCCCCGCTTTCGGGGTGAGGCCCTTACGGAGACAGTTGATCATAGTCTGGCCAGACCGCGTGCGCATCTTTGGGCACTCTCAGGTTAGCTTGCACAGTCGCCCGCCTCCAGCAACCATGGAGGCATAGCGCGCACATCCCCAACACCACGCCAAGCCGTGCTGCATGGCAATCGAATGCGAGGGATGCACCGTCTTAGACCCCACCCGCAGTTGGCTTATAACAGTGAGGGGGACAAAGACGTGGTGGCCTTGCTCGCTCAGATCCCTCTTGGCAACATCCCCCAGACACGGTGTGCGTTCTAACCAGTCCGCCACAAACTACCTACCAGAGCCCTGTCGACACCGTCTGCACGACCACAGTCCGATGTCCACACGCACGAGCTCGTGGCCCGACTGGGCCTCGAGCTCCTGGAGCCTGGAAGGCCCCGTCGCCAAACCGAAAACGCGGAGGAGGATGAGGAGATCGAGCAGGACTAGGGAGGGCCAGGAGGAGGAGGACGACGACGAGCTGCCGAAGATGCTCACGCCGACGGCAGAGCCCCCAACGCTCCCCAGGGCGAGCTCCAGGACCTGGCTGAGCACGGACAGCGCCGCCGCTCCGGTGGCCGCCAGCAGCGCCTGGCGCGTCAGCCGGGCCAGGCGGACGTCAGGGATCTCGAGCCCGAAGGACGCGTGGGGCGCCGGCGGGGTCGTGTGGTGCATCGGGCTTCCCAGACATCATCCGAAGGGACTGATCTTTCCTAACCCTCCTGTGGTTGAGGTATGCGTTTTGGATGGAGCGCTTCTTGCGCGATCTTCTCCTTCTTCCGCCCCCGCCTCCTCCCCTGAAAGGTAACGGTAAGGGAAGATTGGCGTATGGGGGGAAACATCGACCCGGAATCGGCGATACATCGCCGATAGATCGGCGACACTTCCCCGATAGCAGATCCGCATGCTCCTGGGCGGGGTGGGGCTATCAGGCCCCTAGCGGCGATCAATCAGCGGTTGGGGGTCGATTCATCCCCCCTATGCCTAATGCGGGATGACGATTAATAACAAATGGGAGAGAACGATTAAACACATAGTTTTCTGCAATTTCTGCATAATTTTCTGACTGGAGGAGAACGATTTTAAAAATAGGTTTCCAGCCCGCGGCCGGTTTTTTCTAATCGTCATCCCGGGCGCCGCCGCGTGAACACGACCCCCGGTCCTTTATTAATCGTCATCCTCCATGACCCCACCCCTATCGTTGCCCCTGATCCCCCTGCCTCCCTGCCTCCTGCTCCCTCTCCTCTCGTGCTCGCGCCCTCGGGTGCTTGGAGGGGGTGGGGGGGGGGGCAGCCCCAAGCGAGCAGGCCACTGCGGCCGCATCGCACTCACCGACAGAGGGACCCCGGCGGGCACGGGCTCTGAGTCTGGCCTCTGGCTCGGCGGCGGGCCGGGGGGGAAGCGAGAGGCGGGCCGGCCTGCTCAGGAGGCCGCGGAAGGCCCCCCCGGCCTTCCTGAGACGTGCTCTGGGCCTTCCCCGAAGGCACGGAACACTTCTCAGAAGGCCGAAGGGCTTCTGAGGAGCCCCGCCGCCTTCTGAGAGAGCCTTCTCCTTCCCACTCCCCCCCCCCCCAGGCGCGCTCCCCGCTGGCAGCACTGGCCTGCGAGCTGCGCAACCGTCTCCGCTCTCGTGAGCTCCTGGGAGGTCCGCAGCGGAGTGGTGCAGCAGCGAGGGGCCGATTTCTGTTCCCGGCCGTGCGGTAGGCACGTGCCGTGGCGACGTCGCCGCAGGCTTCCGACACCGTGGGAAACGCTCCTTCTTGAAAGATCGCGGCTTTCCGATCGCGCGGATCGCTCGATACGGACAACCCGTATGAGAGGGACGCACGATACATGATGCAAGGGCCTTGGAAGGCCACGTCGACACTCTGCGAGCGGGGCGCGGCCAGCGAAAGCGGGCGAGGATGGGCCGAAGGGGAAGGATGCAAAGGTGACCTTGGACAGTTGTTCTTTCTTACTATACGGTTTGCCTGCATTCTTGAAAGATCGCGGCTTTCCGATCGCGCGGATCGCTCGATACGGTCAACCCGTATGAGAGGGACGCGCGATACAGGAGGCTAGTGCCTTGGAAGGCCACGTCGACACTCTGCGAGCGGGGCGCGGCCAGCGAAAGCGGGCAAGGATGGGCCGAAAGGAAAGGATGCAAAAAACAAGGGTAACCTTGGACATTTGCTCAACCGTGCTATACGATTTGTCTGCATTCTTGAAAGATCGCGGCTTTCCGATCGCGCGGATCGCTCGATACGGTCAACCCGTAGAAGAGGGACGCACGATACAGGATGCAAGGGTCTTGGAAGGCCACGTCGACACTCTGCGAGCGGGGCGCGGCCAGCGAAAGCGGGCAAGGATGGGCCGAAGGGCAAGGATGCACGGTGCAAGGGTAACCTTGGACAGTTGCTCATCCTTACTATACGAGTTGCCTGCATTCTTGAACGATCGCGGCTTTCCGATCGCGCGGATCGCTCGATACGGTCAACCCGTATAAGAAGCACACACGATACAGGATGCAAGGGCCTTGGAAGGCCACGTCGACACTCTGCGAGCGGGGTGCGGCCAGCGAAAGCGGGCAAGGGTGGGCCGAGGTGGAAAGATGCAAGGGTCACCTGTTCATCCCTACTAAACGGGTTGCCTGCACTCTTGAACGATCGCCGCTTTCCGCTCGCGCGGGTCGCTCGATATGGGCCGATCTGGGGCCACTGTTAAGTCGGGCGTGTCCCCCTACAGGGGGATTTTCGACGACAAAAATATCCCAACAATACCCCCAAATGGCCAACAAGTGTTCAAAAAATAGTCCCCAGACTATTTTTTGACTATTTTTGAATATTCCCCCTGTCGGGGATGGACAGACCCCCCTTTAGCAAAACGTGGTTCAGTGAAAACGACCTGAGGCCCAAACCTGGCGGGCGCAAGCCTGGAAAATAATGGCCACGGCGCCCTCTCGAAAACCGAAAACGGACAATTCACTAATCGACTTTTCACTGTTGGGGGTTCTGTCCACCCCCGACCCTGTACGCGCCCGACTTACACCTGGAGCGCCCGCGCGGGCATCGGCCCGCTCCTTGGGGCCCGCACCGGTGCCCCGTGCCGTGAGGAGACGGGCCTGGAGACGAAGAACTCTGCCCTCGGGGTGTGCATGACGGGGCCCTGGGACACACAAGCAAACACACACACACACACACGCACACACGCACACACGCACACACGCACACACGCACACACGCACACACGCACACACGCACACACGCACACACGCACACACGCACACACGCACACACGCACACACGCACACACGCACACACGCACACACGCACACACGCACACACCCACACACCCACACACCCACACACCCACACACCCACACACCCACACACCCACACACACCCACACACCCACACACCCACACACCCACACACCCACACACCCACACACCCACACACCCACACACACACACCCACACACCCACACGCCCACACGAACAACACACACAACACACACAACACACACACACACAACACACACACACAACACACACACACACCACAACACACACACACAAGTAGCAGGATTCCCCCACATTTTCCCATCTTTTCTGGGCTTTTGGCTTCCCCCCCCCACTTCCCATGTTTTCCCACATTGTCCTGGGAGTCGACGAAGAATTGTGTCTGTGTGGTTTTTTCCCTTCTGAGTAAAGGGTCCGCGAGCTCCGGGCCGCGGACGGAAGCAGCCACACCGTCGGATGTCTGGGCTCTGGGCGGCCGAAGGGCGACACTGGCACAGGCTCTCGGAGCTCCGTGTGCGGCTCTCGCGGCTCGCCGCTGGCCCCCGCCCCCCCCCGTATCACAAGGACGCGCGATAAGGAAACAGGGGCCTCGGAGGGCCCTCTCGAAGCTCTTCGGGCGGGGCGCGGCCCATAGAAGGGCCAGGGCATGGGCCGGGGAGGCGAGGAGGCAGGGGGCACCCTTGGGAAGGATGCGAGGCCGCGAGGAGGCGAGGCGGCGAGGCGGGCCGAGGAGGCGAGGCCGCGAGGCCGAGGAGGCAAGGCTGCCAGGAGGCGAGGCGGGCCGCGCGCCGGGGGGGCTGCCGCCAGGGAGCCCGCACGGGCCTCCGAGCACGGTGCCGATGCTGCTCGGCTACACGCAAGAGTGACCCTGGGTAAGAGTGACCTTTGGTGCGCGGCTTTTTTGGGGCCGCGGGGGGGTCCATCACAAGCGCGCAAGATGCTACTATCGCATCGCGTTCGGCGATCGGGGGACCCAATTGGGCCCGCACCGAAGGTCACTCCGGCGAAAGGTCACTCCTACGCCTAGCCGAGCTGCGCCTTCTGGCCTCTGGCGGCCCTCCGCGAGGAGGGCCCGGCCCCGAGCCGGAGCGGCCAGCGGGCTGCGGTGGTCCTCCGTCGGCTCCTCCGCTGCGCCGCTGCGGCGGGGCCCCCGGCCGCGGAGGCGGCCGCGGGCACGCGCGCGCGGGTCGGAGCGGGGGGGGGGGAGGGGGAGGAGGAGGAGGAGGAGGAGGAGGAGCGGAGGAGGAGGAGGAGAGGAGGAGGAGGAGGAGGAGGAGAGGAACTGAGGAGGAGGACGAAGGAGGAGAGAAGGAGGAGGATGAGGAGGAATGAGGAGAGGAGGAGGCGGAGGAGGAGGGGAGGAGGAGGAGGAGGAGGAGGAGGAGAGGAGGAGTGAAGGAGGTGGAGGAGGAGGAGGAGGAGGGGGAAGGAGGAGGAGGAAGGAGGAGGAGGAGGAGGAGTGAGGGGCGGAGGAGTATGGAAGAGGAGAGCAGGAGGGGGAGGGGAGGAAGGAGGGAGGAGGAGGAGGAGGAGGAGGAGGAGGAGGATGGAGGAGGAGGAGGAGGAGGAGGAGGCGTGGAGGAGGAGGAGGAGGAGGAGGAGGAGGAGGAGGATGAGGAGGAGGAGGAGGAGAGGGAGAGGGGGAGGAGGAGAGAGGAGGAAGGAGGCGAGGAGGAGGGGAGGGGGAGGGGGAGGAGGAGGAGGAGGGGAGGAGGAGTAGGGAGGAGGAGGAGGAGGAGGAGGCGAGGAGGAGGAGGAGGAGGAGGAGGAGGGGGAGGAGGAGGGGGGAGGAGGGAGGAGGAGGAGGAGGAGAGAGGAGGAGGAGGAGGAGGAGGAGGAGGAGGAGGATGGAGGAGGAGGAGCAGGAGGGGGGGGCGCGGCGGTGCGGCCTGAGCCCGAGAGCACACGCACACATGTCTGCTTGCTCCACTCTCTGGCCGGCGAGGCGCCGCAGTCGGCCGCTGCGCCGTGCGGCCGCCTCCTTCACCTCCTCCTCCCTCTCCACGCCCACCAGGGGCGGCGGAAGCGCCTGACCCACGGCGGGGGTCCTGACAGCTTGCCCCCTCCATCCATACGTTGGCACCGTGGCACGTTGGAAACCGGGGGGGGGGGGAGGGCGGGTCGCCCCCGTCGGGCCAGTGTTGGGTCGGCCATGCCCTCCTGCAGGCGGATTCTGGAAGAGAACTGGCAAATAGGCAAACCATACTCAAACATAGCCAAATCATCGAGCACATTCAAACACAGTCGGAAGATCGTCCCCACACTATCTTTTGACTGCTTTGAGATTTCTCCTGCAGAGGGACATGCCTGAATCAAGACCAGGTGGCCTCGTTGGCCACGGGCCCCGCTGAAGCCACGGTCCAGTGCACCACCGCGGCGTCAAAGAATGTTGAACCGGGCTGGCCGCGCCAGGCGGCACACAACACATATCCACACAGTTATGATGCTCCAACCTACTTCAGCC